CAGGACGGGGCCTGGGTGGGGGGGTCTCGGGGAAGGGGTGTGTGAGTAACTGCCGTAGTTTAAAAAACCAACTCGGTTTCAGAAGTTTCAGATTTACGGAAGAGCTGTGGAGAGCGCCAATTACTCTGCACTCCGTTTTCTCCGTGAGTGACACGCCATCACAATTAACGAACCGATAGTGACACATTGTTAGTTAGCGAACATCCGCACTTTATTCAGATTCTGGCCCAGGTCCCCCAGGCTGAGGCACTTTCTCAGGCCCCTCGATTCTGAAGCCGTGGGCAGTCAGGAAAGGGCTGGTCAGGACGGGGGGGAGGGGGGCGTTTGTCGTGGCCAGGCTGGGGCAGGGGCCTGGCCTCAGTTTTGACACGCTTGCCACAGCCACGCTGGGACCCCGGCCTCCCCACCTGCTTGCTTCTCCCTCACCGGCCCTGGGGGAACACATATTCATCTCTGCTCAGGACACTCGGGGGATATTTTCTGAATTGTCTCCAGGGACCAGCTGTCTTACTACCATTGGTGGCATCGTCTTTCGTGTCCTAAGTGGTGACTGACTTTTGTGGGAAACGCCATAAGCCATGGGGAGCCAAGCATGGTGCTAGAGGGAGAGCAATCCTCCGGGTCCCGGCTGCCTGCAGCATGGTCCCGTTTCCTGAGCACATGCAGGGAGGCCCTGGAGAAGCAGCCGTCACACCACTGGCAGAAGCAACAGCTACAGCCCCAGAGGGAGCATAGGGGCATGACCGAGGTCACTCCTCCAGCATGTAAGCCAAGACTGCAGACCTGGGCTCTTCCCACTGCTGCACCTGTCCTTGAGCTACGACAGCTGTGGGGGGAGGGGTCTCCCTCCCCTCCCCCCACCAGGACAGGTGCCACACTATGCCCTTTCTAGGACTCTTGCCCCCTCACCTTCTGGTGACACCGGCCATGCCTTCCCCATGGGGCCAAGAGACCCCTGCCCCTCTCCTGCCCTCCCAGCAGCCATGCTGATCTCCCCACTACAGGCCTCACCTGTCTCCTCCAAGTTCCCTTCCCAAAGACAAAGACAGGTGTGGACTCGTGTCCTGTCGCTCCTCTCCAGGGTCAGCCACCTGGGGCAGAGTGGGGTCTGAGCCTCGCACGTGAATCCCCGGTGGAGTCGGGGGCCTGGCACACAGCAGGCGCTCAATGAAGGCTGATGGAATGAACGAGTCGTGGAAACCAAACAAGCTCTGGGGCTTTAGTGGAAGAACACTGCTGTCCTCACGGCCCCGAGCCAACTACAGAGCCCGCACTCCAGCACCGAGCCGAGCCCCGCCACAGGGCAGGAGCACTGTCCCCCCTGCGCCCACCCGCAGCTCTGCGCGTGGGGCCCTCCCTGCCCTCACGAAGGACGCTGGGCCCCCGGCCCCCGCGGCCTGGCCGAGACCACTGAGCACCCGGTGGCGGGACCATCTCGGAGGAGCGACACGTCTCTGCTGCGTCTCCGCCAGTCCCGCGCAGCCAAGTGGACTGGCCTCGGGAGCCTCGCCTTCTCTCCCTGCAGCAGAGCAGAGGCACCGCTCACACCGTGGGCGGCACAGCCGGGGGTGGGCCCGCCGCCCTTGGAAGATGCTGGCAAAGAAAGGGCTTCACTGTGTTGACTAGTTGAAAAATACCAAAAGGAGGCTATCACGTGACCTCTGAACACCGACTCGGAAGCCACATCTCTGTGTCCGTCAGCGCCCTGGCCACGGGCACGCCTGCCCGCCACGTGCTGTGACACTTGGGTTATGGCAGCAGGGCTGAGTTGTGGCAGGGACTGGGTGGCCTGGAAGACCCCAAACACGCTGGCTGGCTCTTCACAAAGTCCGCGGGGTGCGGATCCCCGCCACGCTGCTTAGATCACCGCGGACACGCGATGGCCCGGAACACGGGGTGGACTGAGCGCTGACTGGGCTTCCTTCGACTCTCCAGTGCCAGGAAATAGGACAGCAGCCCTGCTCGGCTCCAGTGGGCGGTGCGGACGCGCTCCCCGGGGCGGTGTGGCCATCCTCGCGGACCAGGCCACTCTCATCCTGCCGGGCCGGGCTCTGCCAGCTGCCACACTGTGGGAAACATGAGAGCCAAGCAACAACTATCAAAAGCTGTGTCAGGGCGCCTGGGGGGGGCTCAGTCGGTTGAATGCCCAACTCTGGTCATGATCTCGCGGCTCCTGGGTTCCAACCCCGCGGCGGGCTCTGTGCCGACAGCTCAGAGCCTGGAGTGGAGTGTGCTTAGGATTCTGTCTCTGTCTCTCTCTGTCCCTCCCCCAATCATGCTCTGTTTCCCTTCAAAAATACAGAAGGCAAAAACTGCAAATGGACACTTCAGGAACTAACAGCCGCCTTGAATTCCTTGATGTTTGTCAAACACAGAAGACAGAGAGAGATCCCGGCTCCTACACCGACGTACAAAATGGCTTAGAGTAAGGTGTGGGCCGACGTGCAAAGGGGGCCACTCAGGCCTGGCACCCCGGCCGCCCAGGGCTGCACCCCAGCTCCGGCCTCCGAGTCAGGGGCTCTCTGGGGTCGGCAGGTCCAGCTGGTCTCCCTCCCAGGTCACCTGTTTTTTTTAAGAGACACACAGAAACAGGTGGAAAACGTTTTCTTTTTTTTTTTGGAATAACCATTTCTTCTAGAGAAGCGTGGCTGACAAAGGCTGTGAGTCTGTCTGGTGCTGGTATTTTCTGGAATGGATCATGGTTGACCCCCCCGCCTGCTGTCTACAACTGATCAGCAGACACGTCGGGGACAGAGCTGGGACCGTGCGGCTGGAGGGTCTATGTCTTTCTGAACTTGAGTCTGTAAGCTGCGTGGACGGCCATGGCCCTGGCACGGGGGCCGCTGCACCGCGGCATTTCTGTCCTGACGTTCGGAGAACCCTGTCGCTGAGGTAGAAGACAAAATGCCGATTCCAGAATACTCTCCACATTGCAGAAACTCCTGGGCGGTTTAAATAAAAAGTATGCTCGCCCGGCCGGTGGTGTCGCTAGAGGCCGGTCTGGGGTGGGGTTGAGAATGTGCAGATGCCGAGAGGACGGTGCCCCCCTCCCCAGTCCCTCTAAGCTGAAAGACCAGACGGAGCCCACACAGAAGACACAGCCGCCGTGGAGGGTGTGGCCTGGCACCCACCCGCCCCGACAAGGGTGGTCCGAGAGACTCACACCCAAGAGGTGACACTACGGAGCTCAACGAGTCATGGCCGTTTATTAAGAGGCGGAGAAGCTGGAGCGCAGGCATGGGCGGCCCTGGCTGCTGGAAGAGCCAGGCGGGCCCGAGAGGGGTGGCCCGTCACGCCGGGCGCCGCTTTCAGTCCCCGCCGACACAGAGGCAGGCCCGACACGGCCAGCCGGGCCCGCATCCTGAGTCCAGACATCCAGGGCCCAGGTGCCGGACTGGGCTCTGCTGGCCAGCGTCCCTGGGGACGCGCAGGCGCGGCACAGGAGAGAACCTGAGGGAAGTGGCGGCAAGGTAAGCACCAGATGTGGGCGGATCTGCAGCCATGGGCGGTCGGAGGCGGCACTTCCTGCCCTTTCTGAGGAACCACCGAGTTGACAGGCAAGACCGTGGAGCTGGGCGCTCCACACGGGTGACCTCGTCGGTCCGGGGGCTCACGGCAGCCACTCGAGCTGGGAGCAGGAGCTGGAGAGGGTCCAGGGTGCAGCTGGGCTCTGCTCAAGGAGGAGGAAGAGCGGGGACATCGGCCAGACCAGAGCACCAAGTTGGGGGGGGAGGGCCGAGCACGTCCAGTCTCGGGGTCTCTCGGCGCAGAGGGGCGGCAGCGAGGGCCCGAGAGTCTGCGCCATCATCTAGGCCGAGGCGCCTACTGGGCCTGTGGGTTCAGGGGTGCGGCTGGCTGGGCTCGTGGGCTCCTGGGGGGGTGCTCTGGCCCCGGTCTCCTCGGGCGCAGACAATGCCGCGGGCTCCTTCGTGGGCAGGGAGCACTTGGCCAGTCCTTCGCCTGGAGGCGGCTGGGAGAGGCCAGTGTCTGAGTCCATCTGGGGCTGGGGGCCGTCGGCTGAAGACGCCGCCCAAGGAGACTGAGGTAGGTCCTTCTGTAAGAGAAGAGGCCACAGTCAGGCGTGGGACGAGGACAGGAAAGCCCGGGGACAGTGGACAGGGGAGGGCAGATGAGTCACCGTCCCCCGAGGGTCCAGCTCCAGACCCAGGAGCCACCTTCCCTTGGGGCCAAGTAGCACCAGCCAGAAGGCGGGACCACAGGCCGGTGACCCAATGCAGAAACGCTGAGCCTTGTTCCCCTGCCTCCTGAACCTTCCAGAACTTTGCCCTGTGGCAAAGCCAGCACTCCTCGGGACTGAGAGCCTCTGAGGACGGGTGGGCGATGAAGCCGGGAGCGTTTCCCCGAGGGCCCGCGGGAGGGCCCAAGGCCCTATCATCGGTTACGTTATCTGGTTCATCTATCAGCTTAACCTGGGGCCCTGCTCCGTTCGGCGCCTCTAGGCCAGGACGGAGAGGGTGCGAGTTTCAACTTCCACAAAACCTGGCACGGTAACACCACACTCAACCAGCAGCAGCGCTCCAGAGGGACACATGTCACACTCAGGAGCTCCTGTAACTGACAAGGCTGGTCCCGGTGTCGCCCGCCTCTGTGTGCTACTGACAGGGCGGCAGAGGCAGCCGCAGCCTTTCCATACCCGCAGGGCGTCAGCTCTGTCCCTGCACCACTGAAACACGTGCCCTCGTCCCATCGAATGTGCTGCGCTGCACCAAGAGTGGCCTCCGTCCCTCTCCTCTTCTGTCTCAAAAACCAGGAACAGCAAGCCACTGGCCGAACTTGGTTCCTCCACCTGGCCTTGCACAGTTTGCCCCCGGGCCCCCTGCCCTTTCCCCGTCCTGGGTGGACAGCCCCCACCCTGGCAGAGGACCTCGGTGGCCCCCCCAGCTCGGCACTGTGTTCCCAAGGGCTGAAGCAGCCGGAAGCCAGTATCCCATCACATGGGGTGTCACGGTCCCTCGGGACTGGCACCTTTAGTAAAGGGCTGTTAGCACCATCCTCAAGCCACACCCAGTGGGACGGCACAAGCGCGTCCCCTCTGCTGGGACGGCTCGGACCCTTCAGAGCCACACGGACAGGACACCAAACAGAACCTTCTGGGAACGGGGACAGAGGCCGCGGGGTTTAGTCGTGAAACTACGAGGTTTTACTCAACTTTAACTCTAGTTAGGGCTTATTGGGTTATTATTTCTCGCAGACAGTCATAGCAAACGGGTATTCACCGCAAAGCCGCTGCCCGTCCAGAACATGCCCAGCTCCCTGCGCCAGAGCGCCAGGG